GAAGCAAGACACAGCGAGTACTTGGAGATCTTGGAAATGGGAGATAAACTCGGTGAAGATTCAGGGCTGCCCCGTATGTGACCCTTTTAGGACTCCAGTCTTGGGGAAGTAAAGGACATGTTACTGGCCTTTCACTGCCATCACCATGAAGAACGAAACAAAATATTGTATAGGCACATGCTGTGAAGAAGCGTATTCCATACCTGGTTTATTCTCCGTGTGACATGGAACTCTTCTAGCTTTGAATGGAGTATAGAGCAGTAAACGGCAAGTCCAGGTTGCTGTGCATGGGACTGTGCCACTTGGGCCACATTCTGGCCCTCCTGATGGTAATGAGAAGAATCTGTGGTGGAGAAGATGTCTTTTGAAGTTTATGGCAAGATCTAGTAGGAGAATCATAATGTTGACCCTGGGGTTCTGACATCCTGGGTTGCTGCTAGAGTCGATACACCGATAGAGTAGAGTGGCCAACTGTGGAACATCCATCAGCCACTGAACCAGAACATCCTGCTCTAAGGGAGGCACTGTCAGATCCAAGTTAGGAAGTTGGGTGGGTGCAGCAAAGATGGAAGGAATACAATCTAGATCAGGTCCAAGCAGTGCTTGAGGAAACAAGTCCCCTCGGTCATCACCCTGGCAGCACCAGCACCTCACCCTCAGTTGACCCACAGTTGCATGGTGGACCACCCTCAAGGACCAGCTCACAGCAGAGAACGAAGTGCATGGATGCAAGCCCAAATAGATTGCAGCAGCCCTAGAGGCTCACACAGAAGTGGCCAAAAAAGACAGTGGTGAGGGCAAATTCTCTCAAAGGGCTGAGCTTCTGGTACTGCACCTGGTCACCCCCTGTATGTGAAAAGAGGCATAACCTGGTGTAAGAATATATAGAGATCCGAAGGCAGTGGTGAAGAATTTAATTTATTGGTCAGGGACCTAGAATGTGTAAGATTAAAAGATTGGGGGCAAGAAAATATAGAGAAGAAGCTTGTGTATGGACCTGTGGGAATAATAATGTGTGAAGATCTTTGTGTCACATGTTAACACTCACCAGAGGATGGCCATCATGGAAGAGACACTACAACGCAAAGTAGAAGAAAATGACTTGACCTCTGTCTTAATCACCCCAATAGAAGGACAATGGTTTATGAGTGTAGTCACTATGGTGACATTAGGGGTCCAACTCTATGGGCTCCCACTGGTCTACCTACTGCTGCTGCCAAAACAGAGTCCACCGCTGAGCATCTGATTTGGAATCATCCCTGGGGGAAACCAAGCAGTCACTTCTTGGACAAGTTGATTAAATTGTACTCCTCCCCCAAAATGCTAATTTTATTTTATAGAAATTGGCACATATTGTAGATATGGGTTTGATTTCCTTGCATGCAACGCCTCAGCTAGCCCTGCTATCCAAAAGTTCACATATTGTCTAATCCACCAGCATTTGATCTTGTCTAGATCCACTTTATAACAAAAGTATTTAGACACAGAGGTACTTCCAGCCAAGACAGCAGCATAGGTAAACACAGTGCTCACCTCCTCCCACTACCACCTCAAAATTACACTAAACTACAGAAATCCGTCATTCAGAACTCCTGAAATCGAGCTGAATGGAAGTCCTATAACTATAAAATTAAAGAATCCACGTGGAGACTGATAGGAGAGGCAGAGGAATGGATAGGGCTGGTCTCACACCCATGTGCAGCAGATAAAAATCAGGAGTGATACCTTGTTTGTGGAAATCCCCCCTGAGGAGTGAGAATCCCAGACCCACTCCCAGCCTAGGGTCCCAATCCCAGGAAGAGAAGACCCTATATCTTCTGGCTGTAAACAGTGGAGATTGAGTCTGAGGCTGCTAGAGTCCCAGGCAGTTCCTCCCAAAGGGCCTGCACATATACTGACCTGGATTCATTCCCTCTGAAATCCAGCATCTTGAAAGGCACCAGAGACATGTGGGAAGGAACTGAATTGTTTGGCATTAGGGCAAGAGCTGGAGGGGCAGCTTTCTCTCAGACAGAAGTGCTGGCAGAGGCCATTGTTCCTTTTCTGAGCTCTGCCCCATAGAGCCAGCAGGTGGGCACCATATCTGAGACTCCATCAACTTGGCCTACGCTGTTTGCCCCACCATGGTGATTCCCTGAGACCCTTCTCCACACAACTTTCTAGCCCACCCATGCTGTTTCCAGGGGCTTTACCATAGGAATGGCCTTTCTTGGCTCATGCTTCAGATTTTCCTAAAATCTCTCAAACACGTGGGAGATTCTCCAAGGTGGTTGGAGGTCAGTGGTCAGTGGTCAGAGTCAGTCTTTGAAGTTGGCCTAAGGGAGCCCTGTACATCTAGCTAAGTTGACGTAGGCCCCACACTAACAGCAGCCAGCCTTGGTTCACAGCTTGGCCTCACCTGGGCACCTCCAAGCCCAGCACAAGAAGCAGCCATCTGCAGATGGCTTTGTAGTTTATGTCAGGTGGCCCCAGGCAGAACACAGATGGTGGCTGACCTTGACCTGCACCTTCTGGAAGACCTCAGATCCTGTGCACCCAGTGGAGAGCTTCAGGTCACATCACAGCACCATCACCCAACCACCTTCATGAGCAACACACTCAAGGGCAGACTCAGTGGGTACCAGAGCCCTGCTGAAGTAAGTCCTGCTCTGTGAAACGGGTCCCTACACAGTTGATCCTCCAAATTGATTGAAGGTCTGTTGCCAGTGGTCATAGCCAGTCCTTGCAGCTGATCAGACTGGGTAAATTGTTCCCATTGAAATACCAACTGCAACCAAGACTCAACTACAATAAGAGGGTATACAGCCCACTCAGGGGCACACCTTGAGTTTCTAGCTGGGATAATAGAGAAGGCTGTGGAACTGGACCCTATAGAACACCTACTTCTGCAGGCCACTCTATCAAGTCTGAGAGACATAGCAGCTCTACCTAATCCATATAAACAAACACAGAGAGGCTGCCAAAGTAAGGAGATAAGGAAACATGTTCCAAATGAAAGAACAGAACAAAACACCAGAAAAAAAAACTGAACAAAATGGAGACAAGCAATCTACTGGATATAGAGCTCAAAACACTAGTTATAGAGATGCTCAAGGAACTTAATGAGAACCTTAACAGCATAAAAAAGGACCAATCAGAAATGAAGGCTACATTAACTGAAATGAATAATTTACAGAGAATAAACAGTAGAGTACATGAATCTAAGAATCAAATCAGCAATTTGGAATATAATGAAGCAAAAAACACCCAATCAGAACAGCAAAAAGAAAAAAGAATCCATCGCCCAGCTGGTGTAGCTCAGTTGGTTGAGTGTCATCCCATGCACCAAGAGTTCACTGGTTCAATTCCTGGTTAGGGTGCATACTTGGGTTGTGGGCTTGATCCCCAGTAGGGGGGCATGCAGGAAGCAGCCCATCAATCTTTATCTCTCACCAATGCTTTTATCCCTCTCTCCCTCTCCATCTCTCTCTAAAAATCAATAAAAACATATATATTTTTAAAACAAATCCAAAAATATGAGAATAGTTGTGAGGGGCATTTGGGACAACTTCAAGCATACCAACATTTATCATGGAAAAGGAGAAGATAGGGCAAGAAATTGGAAAAAAAAAATAATAATAATGACAGAAAACTTCCCCTACCTGGTGAAAGAAATAGATTTACAAGTCCAGGAAGTACAGAGACTCCCAAACAAGAGGAACCCAAAGAGGCACACACCAACACACATTATAATTAAAATGCCAAAGGTTAAAGACAAAGAAAGAATCTTAAAAGCAGCAAGAGAAAAGCAGTTACCTTCAAGGGTACCCATAACACTGTCCGCTGATTTCTTTTTCTTTTTTCTTTTTTTTCTTTTTTCCCCCAGCTTATTTCTTAACAGAAACTTTGCAGGCCAGAAGAGAATTGCAAGAAATATTCAAAGTGATGAAAAGCAAGGACCTACAACCAAGGTTATTCTACCCAACAAGACTATCATTTAGAATTAAAGGACAGAAAAGGGCTTAGACAAGAAAAAGTTAAAGGAGTTCATCTGGAATAGTTGTTTCCCTGCTACCTGGTTCACTCCTATTCACCCATCACAGTTTAGCTCAGATGTCACCCTCAAGACCTTCTCCGCCTCCTGGACTATGTCAAACCCCCTTCCATCACTCCTATAGCATCTTTTTTCTCTTTCTCAGCCTCAATCCCCTGAAATAATCTATTTAGTGTCCACACTTCTTTTCATTCTCCACAAGGACTAGCTAGCATGTTACTGCTATATGACTAGTATGCAGCATATACTACAGGACAGTAGACATTAAATATTGACTAAATAAGTGGATTTTGCCAAAGCAACTCCTAGGATTTCAGCTCTGCAACAAGTTAGATCACTTGTCTGAGCATCTGTTTGCTAGAGTATGAGATGGGGATAATAATGCCTCCCTCACAGGTTGTTTTGAGGATTAAATGCGATGTATTGGTAAAGCCCTTAGCATGGCTCCTGGCATAAAGTAGGCATGTGATTCCATGCATTGTTAACAATCAAGAAAGACTATATCAGTCTATACACGCCAGCAGATTTTGACACTCTCACTCTTTACTTCTCCAGTGTTGAATGTTGTGTTTGTAAGTGTTTTTATAAATCTTTTAGGCCAAAAAATGGCCTCTTGTAGTTTTAAGTCAACGTGCTTTTAAGCCAATAGTTTTGTCAGTAAGATCACAGCACCCGCCGCTCCCAGCCCACACCGCACAGAGCTTTTCTCTTCCTGTCACAACTCGTTGGGGGAAGGGTGCCTGGGAAGGGGTCTCCAATGTGGGGGTGCACTGTGCCAGGCCCCAGCAGCTAAATGGCACGTACTGTTCGCTGTGCCCTCAGTTCTGCCAGTCCTCTCACTTGTCCTGTGAAAAGAGATGGGACCCAGCTCCCCACCAACACAGGTGGCTGCCTCTGCCTCGACCGACCGTTTCCAAGTGACGTTGAGCCCAGCAGGCCCAAGGCTCCCCACCCCCCCACTTCCTGTGTCGGCTCAGAGCCCGCCTCCCCTCCCAGCCCTGGTGCCTGCTTCGGGTGATGGTGTGTCTCCCTCTTCCAAAGCCCCCTTCTCACCCAGCACTGGGAGCAGTGGCCCAGAGTCCTCGTCCTCAGCGGGAGTCCGCAAAAGGTCATTGGTTTCTCTTCCAGAAGCTCTAGGCCAGCGGGCCTGCACCATCTCCATTCAGTGAGTTCCGGGGAGGAAGATGCCATCGGGGAAGCTCTGGAGCGTCCTGGGGCTCTGCCTCTTATCCGGTGAGTAGGATGAATCGAAAAGGGCAAGGCCAGGGGCATCATGCACTGGGAGGTGTAAGGGGCTGCATGTGTCACGGTAGCGGAGGCTGATGGGGAAACGTGGCTGGATTCTCAGAGGCAGCTGAGGAGAGCAGTGGGGTGATTATCTCTCCTGAAACTGGGCTTTGTACCTTCAAGTAGCATCTCCTCCCGTCCCTGGCCTCCCAGCCCTTGGGAGCTGATTTGAAGGCAATGAGCAGAGCTGAGGGTGCTCCTTGTTAGGGGGATGCTGACTGGTTGAACCCCAGCTCTGTGCAGGGCGTAGCCAGCTTCACTTGAGACAGCAAAATACTCCATAGTTTTCGGTTCTTCTCAGTGACTCAAGAGCTTTCCATGGTGTGAAGTCATTTGTGAAGCAAAGTGGAATGATGGGTAAATAACCAAGAGTGTTTTCAATCTATATATATAAAAGCCTAAGTGACCGTTACAACCAGTGGGCCAAACAATCAGTTGACTGGTCACTTTGACATGTGCTGACCACCAGGGGAGTCACATAGGAGCTGGCCTCTGGTGGTCAGTGCGCTCCCACGGCCAACCTCCTGCAGACCCTCACCCTGCCAGCCGGCCCCAATCGCCCCGGTTGTCAGCCAGGACGAGGATGCCACCCATGCCTGAATTGGTGCGCCAGGCCTCTAATATTTTATATATGATACATTTCTTTAAGGTGGCCATTTATTGAGTTCTAGATATTCTGTAAAAAAATAAATAAATAAAAACCTTCACATGTGTTACCCAGGTTATCCTCACATCCATCTTGGAGGGTAAACATCACCTCCGATTTTGTAGATGAAGAAATTGATCCTTACTGAGGGTAAAGAGCTTGTTTCAAACCTCATGGGAGTGCTGAGTTCACCTGAGCACTGTCTCTCTCTGCAAGCTGCACCCATAGGGGCTGCACCGCAACAGGCGATGGTCCCGGACCCTGGTTTCAGGGCCCTGGGAAGTGCCCCTGGCGGGCTTGCACCCCAGCCGTCACCGCAGGGTCTGCCCGGCCGGCTCCTCCTGAGTGTCTTGGGCCTGAATGTGCACACACCGGCTGGACCTTGTTAGGCTGCAGCTTGGGCTGGGGCTTGGGATAGGGGTTGTGATTCTGTGTCTAACAGGCTCTGAGGCTCAGTCCATTCCTGGTCCTGGTCCCAGGGACACATGCTGAGTGTCAGGTGCAGGGGTGGCTCCTGAGGAAGAGGGCGGGCAGTTCCCTTAGAGGCCTATAGGATAAAGGATGCTTTGCAGAGAGAAAAGGAGAGGGGGTGGGAGGGAGGAAGGGAGAGAAAAGGAGGGAGAAATGGCCATTTGGCCCCATGAGGATGTGCCACCTGCTGTGAGTGTAGGAAAGGGGCACTGGCGTAGTCTCAGCCAGTGTGGGGGCTTTGGGTAAGACAGGGCTGGGCACACAGAGACCTGTCAGGCAAACCCAGGGAAACTGGTCAGGGTGACGAATCCCAGTTACTGCAGAGCGAGGGCCGGGGCCTGGGAGGGGCCAGGCTTCTCTGTTGTACAGACTGCACCTGTGAGCAACCAGGGCCTCAAACATGTCCGTCTCCCAAATGCAAAACAAACGGAAACACTGAGACATCGGCCCCCGCATGCACACCTCCCCCGTCCCTGTCCCCCCCCCCCACGGCCCTGCCAGGAGCTCATGGGCCTCCCTGGTCGGAGACCAGTTTCCACCGTGAAGGCGTGGCTGCCTTCTCCCTCCCATCACCCAGAAAGCAGCCGGCTTTGTCTCCCCACTGTTTGTCAAACACTGCTTTCGCGCTGAATGCGAGGTGCTCTCCTGCTCTGTTTCACCCTGGCTTGGCTAGGAGTTGGGGTACAGAAGTGACTCACCCGCAGGGTGTGGGCAGGGCAATCAGTGTCCAGAAAGGGCCGGACAGGACAGGCCTCTGCCTGGGACTGCAGGCACCACACTGACTAACGGTTTCCTTCTGATTTTGTTCCAGTTGGCGCTTGGGGGCAAGAAGGTGAGTTGCGTTCTTTCCTGTTCTTTCCTCGTTATGAAACCCGCCCACATTCTTTAGGTGTGAGGGGAGCTGGCCTCCCACAGGGCTTCCCTGGGCACGCAGCAGGGGTTCCTGCCACCTGGTCTTTGCTTTTCCTTCCTGATTCTGGAGGTCTGGCTGTAGCCAGGGAGAGGGGAATTGTAGAGACCGTGGCAATGAGTGAGCCCTGACAATTCAGAGGAAACAAGTACGGCTGCGAGATGAAAGTGCCAACCATTTAATCACTTGCATCCATAGTTGGTGTGAGGTTTTAAGGAGGGAATGTAATACTCTGCGTGCGAGTACATGTGTGTGCGTGTGTGCGTGCGTGTGTGTGTGTGTGTGTGTGTGTACGCGTGCACATGCTTGCATGTGGGACATGCCGGGGCTGCAGTCTCTGTCCAGCAGCAGTGTCCGTGTCCCAGTGTGGGGAGACTCCCCAGCCTGCCAGCTGCTCCAGGCTGAGCGAGGACCTGGGAGCCGTCACGGTGCCGACCTGCGCTCAGCGTCCGTGGGGCCTTTTCTTCCTTTTCCTTCTCCTGCCACGCAGCAGGCTCCGGCGCTCAGCACTGACAAAGGGGGGTGTGCAGCACGCAGTGCGCTGCAGACAGCTCGTCCCTTCTGAAGGCTGTTGCCGCTTGGCGTTGACTGTGCTCAGCTTTGGCTTCTGTTCGGTGTAGGCCTCAGGCTCGCTGCGGCAGCACGCGGACCAGCTGCTGCTCCCGCTCCCCGCGGTAGAGGGACAGCTGATTCGGTGTAAGTGTGAGGTGTGCAGTGTGATGGTTGTGTATGTGTTGTGAGATGATGACTCAGAATTCACGTGTGTACGTGGCCATCGGTTGTCTAACGTAGGACGAAGGGCCACGCGGAGAGCATGTGCCTAGAGGCTGGGGGACAGTGCTCACTCCCGGAGCGGGCTCTGATCTCACAGCTGCTAGAAGTGTTGCTAACGGTTTCTCATGCTTTCTCTTTCAGAGAATAAAGACAGTGGTAAGAGAATGTTTCCTCTTTACAACCTCCTTTCAAATGTGGAACCAAATGGTGGTGGGGGACAGTCGCCATAACACACACTGAGGACCAGAACTGCTAGAGGAAACGTGCCAGCCTCCTCCAGTGGGCGTGTGGGCCACGCGTGTCCCTGAGCGCACACTCCGGGAAGATGCCTGTGGGTGAGGGCAGAGCCACCACAGCGCTGGTGTGAATCTCGAGGTCACTGCAGGCAGAGACGGTGTCTGAGTCAGCTGGCCGGCACAGAACAGGTGCTCCATGCATATTCTTTGAGAGCGTGAGTGATCAGACACATGCACGCATCATTAATTCCTCCCCTCAAGAAGCAAATGTGTGTGGCACAGTGTGTTGTCTGCTATGAGGTGGGCAGATGCAGAGCAAAGTAAAATATAAAGAGTGGTAAACTCTGCAGAGAGTAGCTGGGGAAGCTGAGTTTGAAATCATGAGCTTGTATTTTAGGGGAAAATAGTATTTTAGGCAGAAGGGTGGGCTGCGCAGGAGGAGGCTGAGAGTCTAACTCTGAGGCTGGCGGCCGTATCTGAGTCCCGGCAGGGCTGGCTTGCTGGCTCCTTTGACTAATTTCTGGAACCTCTCCGTCCCACAGCATCGTCATGTGTGAAATGGAAAGAACAAGGACACGCAGGTTGCAGGGCTGTTATGAGGGCTGATGAGTAGTTCTCACAGGATGTTATCTGGGCTGGAAGACAGTTGGTGAATTTTAGCTGTTATCATATGGGAAGCATGCAGCTTAGATAACAGGCACTGAAGGTCACTGAGCATGGATGTTCTGGGTTCTACCCTGCATATTTACTCACGTCTCATCTAACATCCCTATTCTGCAGAAAACCAAGGTTAGAACGGAAGTCAATAGTCCAGTCACAGAGGTTAGTGAAAATGCAGGCCTAGCTGACCCTGAAGCTCGCGTTCTCAGCCTCTGTGAACACTGCGCCCGGGCTTGTGTGGAGAGCGTGAGCACTGGGCCTTTGTGTGAGCATTGTGAGCCGAGGCTCTGCCGCTAAATTTGTGCTGATATAGGCTGTGAACAATTTTCTTTACATTTTCTTGTCCACACACCAAGCAGTGAAATGTCTACTTCCTTTTAAATGGTTTTATGTACGATTTCTCATTTGTTTAACATTTCTAAAAAATGGCAGTGCTGAAAAATTATTCCTAAGTCAAAATATTATCGACGGTCTATTATCATTATACTCCACTCCCAGTTAGTGGCAGACGGACAGACGTGGGGACGGCTTGTTTACATTTCTGGGATCTCAGCCAGAGAGAGGCTCAGCACTGTGCCCCTCGGGAGCGGAACCTTCCAGCGAAGGGAGGGAGAACTCACCTTGTTCTCACGCATCTGCTCTGCGCCGCCCGTTCTCTCCTTCCTAATCCATCTGGTTCTCACAGATACCTGGTGAGGCAGATGTTTTATAGCTCCATCTTCCAGATAAGAACTGTGGCTTGGAGCAGTTAAAACGCCTTGCCTGCCCTGGCCACAGCCTAAGGCAGATCTGGAATTCAAACACGGGACTTTGGATTCGGCCCAGTGACCTGTCCCCAGTAGCACCTGTAGCAAAACACCCTCAACAGAGAGAGGGCTCTCTCTCTCTCTCTCTCTCTCTCTCTCTCTCTCTCTCTCTCTCTCAATATATTTTTATTGATGTCAGAGAAGAAGAGAGAGAGAGAAAGACATTAATGATGAGAGAGAATCATTGATCGGCTGCTTCCTGCACGCCCCACACTGGGGTTCGAGCCTGCAACCTGGGCCTGTGTCCTGACCAGGAATGGATCCGTGACCCCCTGGTTCATAGGTCAACAACCTCTGAGCCACGCCGGCGGGCAGGCTGTCCCTTTGCACCGCCCCTCTCCTCTCAGGCGCCCTGTCCGGGCTGCAGCACAGCCAGTGCCGCCAGAGTCCCAGCCAGCAGCCTTCCAAGAGGCGAGCACACACCGCAGCCCGCAGCCGCGGGGGAGGTCGTCGCTGTGGGGGACGTGCTGGACCCCCAACTCCATAAGGGATTCCAGGCGTCCTCCCTCCACAAAATAGCCGGGAGTTGGTTATATTCAGGGACATTTAAAATAAAGCCACTTTTTATGGGAAGAACCATTCCCTTAAAATGTCTATAGTGCTTTCCATAGTTTAAGGGCACATGCTGGTATGTTTTCAATTTGACGTGTCTGAGTTGCATCTATAAAGTTACCTCATGGACTAACAACAGAGTGTACCCCTTTCCGGCTTAGGGTACCCTAAGGACGGGCCCTCTTGGGGATCCCTGGGGACTTGAAAATTTTTACCAACAACGTCATTTCCTCACCATCCCTTCCTCTTCTCACTTCCAGGTGACTCTCCATCTCCTGCAAAGAGTAAGTCAGCCCTCGCTGAGGTGTGCCTGGTGAGGGTGCGAGTCAGTAAGGCCAGAAGGAAAGGAAAGGAGTGAGGCGCTCCCGAGAGGGGGCCCTGCCAACAGTGTGTTCCCAGCTCCTGTTCAGACGCGTTGCAAGCAGGGACTTGTGAAGTCTTTCTCTGCTTCCACCCGCTCCTTCCCAAGTCCCCGTGTCCATTCCTAAGCACTAGCGTCACCTTCAAAAAGTTGTCTAGTCCCGTTGTTATTGTTGGGGGGAGGAGGTTGGTTTTGCTAATCCTCACCCAAGGATATTTTTTCCATTGGTTTTCAGAGAGAGAAGAGTGGGAGAAAGGGAGGGAAAAAGGAAGGGAGAGAGAAACATCTATGTGAGAGAGACACATCGATCGGGTGCCACCCGCACACTCCCCAACCAGGGACAGGGAGCAAATCTGAAACCCTGCTACGTGCCCTTGACCAGGAATCCAACCCAAGACCCTTCCATGTGTGGGCTAACGCCCTAACCACTGAACAATACTGGCCATGGCTAAGCCCCCTTTTGTATGACCCCATTGTCATACCTTCCTGCCAACAGAGTTCCCTTTTGACAACAAAATCTAAGACCTGAATGACAGATGACTTTCTGCATCTGGTTGGCTCTTTTTTTTTTTTTTTTTTTTTTTTTTTAATATATTCCATTGACTTCCTACAGAGGGGAATGGAGAGAGATAGCCAGAAACATCAATGAGAGAGAAACATCGACCAGCTGCCTCCTACACACCCCCCACCGGGGATGTGCCCACAACCAATGCACATTCCCTTGACCGGAATCGAACCCGGGGCCCCTCAGTCCACACGCAAACCGACGCTCTATCACTGAGCCAAACTGGTTTCGGCATGGTTGGCTCTTTTGTTACTACTTTGCATTTCCTGAAATCTTACTGGTTTCTTCTTCTGATTTCCCTCTCTTCTCTCCACTCCCCAGCATTTAAAGTCTCCATCTCCGGAACCAGCGTGGAATTGACATGTCCTGAGGACCCTGATTCTGATCAAATAAAATGGACAAAAGATGGCGTAGAAATATCCAGTCATAACGAGGAACATCTGTTAATAGACAATTTCTCCGAAATGAAAGACAGTGGCCATTACAGCTGCTACAAAGATGATAGCAGTCGCCACTATCTCTACCTGAAAGCAAGAGGTAATGCGGGTCTCAGCAAGCACTGCTAGGCCCTTTAGGGAGGACCATCTCAAAGGGCTCCTCCGTCACCCCCTCCCCAGCTCACAGCCCCGCCTCTCTGTGCCTCCCCTACACTCTGGGCCCCACGGCACCACGTTTTCTGCAACTCCGGTTAAACACCAACGGGGGGCGGGGGGACTGCCTAGGCCAGCTCCGTCAGCACGCCATCTACAGCAACTCCTGGGAGACAGGAGGGGGCCCTGGCCTTACGCACACCCCACACCCCGTGACGGCACACCACGTGAGCTCACCTGACGCTTTAGCCAGATGTGCATCCTTCCGAAGGACTGGCAGAGAGACTCAAAGATGCTGTGGTAAATGGCAGCGCCCAGGCATCGCAGTAAACCCTGACGGCAGCTGGCATTTATGGGGTGCTTACGTCTCAAGCACTATACCATAGACTGGCCGGGGGCTTTGTGTTTTTGTCAGTCCTCATCTGGGGATATTTTTCCATTGATTCTTAGGTAGAGGGAGAGAGCGGGAGAGACAGAGAGAAACGTCGATGTGAGAGAAATACATCGATTGGTTGCCTCCTGCAACGCGCCTGACCAGGACCGCGCTGGGGAGGAGCCTGCGACGAGGTACATGCCCTTGACCGGAATTGAACCTGGGACCCTTTGGTCCACAGGCAGATGCTCTATCCACTGAGCCACACCGGCCATGGCGGACTTTTTCCTCTCATGTCGTCCTCTCAACAACCATACAAGTGAAGTAGCCTGTGCTTCCCACAGAGATGAGGGGGCATGTATGGGGGCTGAGAGCACATTCTCGTCCTCGCGGCAGAGAGCAAGGAGCTGGGACTTGAGCCGGACTGTCTGAGGCCAGAGCTTCTCCCCAGGACGCCACGCTCTGTGGCTGTTACAACGTCCTGCACGGGGGCTGGTGCTAGCGATGGCCGGGCGTGAGGCCTGAAGGGAGAGCCTGGCCTGTCCCTCCTGGCCTCGGGGTCCTGTGTCTGCCGTCTCGGTGACTTGCCCTCCCCGCCGCCCGCAGTGTGTGAGAACTGCATGGAGGTGGACCTGATGGCCGTGGCCGGCATCATCGTGGCCGACGTGTGCCTCACGCTGGGCGTGCTGCTGCTGGTGTACCGCTGGAGCAAGAGCAGGAAGGCCAGGGCCAAGCCGGTGGCCAGAGGCGGGGGCGGCGGCCGGCCCGGCGGTGAGAGCGGGGCTGCGGGAGGAGCGGCCGGCGGGGCGGGCAGCGAGGCCCGCGGGCAGGACGGCGTCCGCAGGGCCCTCACTGTGTGGCCGTGATCCTGACAGGGCTCCAGCCTCAGATCGCCTCGCCTTCCCCTCAGAAAGGGCGAGCATTCCTTTGGGCAGGGCTCCCTCCAGCGCCTGGGGCTCCGCCCGCCCGGGGCACCGCTCCGCCTTTCCTTCCCTCCCTTCCTCCCCAAAGGGAGCCGGGGAGCACCTGGAGCTGAGGAGCCACAAGATGGTGGAGCAGGGGGGCGTTCGGGATGGGCTCGGGGAAGAGAGAAGAGGTGGCTGGACTGGAAGAGGGAGAGGGAGAGGAGGGAAGGGGGTGCGTCCTCCATCTGGTGGCGTTCCCGCATGAAAACCAATCCCCCCCCCCCCCTGCAGGACAAAACAAGGAGAGGCCGCCACCGGTGCCCAACCCGGACTATGAGGTAACGCGGACGGAGGGGCCGGGTCTAGAGGGGGGACAGTGGGACTGCTCATCCCTGTCACACCTTACAGCCCCCGCTCAACCCCAAGACCCCCCAGGCCGCCTCTGCCCTCACCGGGAGGCTGCCAGTTCCACCACCGCGGAGCGGCTGGCTCTTTTCTCCTTTTTTAACGTATTTGCATTGATTTGGGAGAGGAAGAGAGACAGAGTGATGAAGAGAATCATTGATCCGCTGCCTCCGCACGTCCCCCTCCGGGATGAGCCTGCAGCCTGGGGGTGCGGCCCTTGATCAGAATCTAACCCGGGACCCATCGATCTGTGGGCCGGCACGCCATCCACTGAGCCAGACAAACAAGGCTGGCTTATTTCTCCCTCAGCTGGGACACAGCCATGGGAAAAACACACGTGTAAATGCTCCCCGCATGCACCTGTGCAGCCATGCCAGTTGTCGAATGTCACGGACATAGAGCTCTCCCTCACACACACACACGCGAGCACACACACACACACACACACACACACACACACACACGGCCGGACACCCAGCCTCGGCGCCCTGGCCCGCCTCTGACTGGCCAGGGGAGGGCTGCTGCCTGGCTAGCGGACGGCCATCGGGTTCCTCTGAGTGGCGCGGTGTGTGACTGCAGCTGTTAAACACTGCTGCTCTCACCCGGACACCCACAGACATTCACTGGCACCAGAAGCACGTGCAGTCACTGTGCCCCCGTGACTGCAGCTCTGGCCAGAGCCCGGAGGCGCGTCTTTCCACTCTCACTGCTGAGAAGGGTCGCTGGCTCCCAGGGAGGGACCGGAGCCAGGCAATGCCAGGCAATGCCAGCCTGCCTCCCGCGCCGGCCCAAGGCTCTTGCTTTGCTCTGGAGCTGGATCCTCGGAGGCCCCCGCGTGCTCCCGCCCTGCTGACCTCCTTCCCTCCCCCCAGCCCATCAGGAAAGGCCAGAGGGACCTGTACTCCGGACTGAACCAGAGAGGCGTCTGACCCTCCTGAGGACCCGCCTCCCGTGGCAGGCTCCTCCCTCTCCCGGCACCGGCACCGCTCCGCCCTGGACCCCAGGAGATCCGTCCCCCTGCCCGGAGGGGAGCTTCCCTGCAGCCCGCCCCCCCCCCCCACGCTCCCCCCTCCCGCACCTCTGCTGGAAGCCATCCCAGGATATTGCTGCTTCCTTCTTTGAAATGGCGCTACTCACCTACCACCCTGCACTCCGGCCGGGACATCTGCGTCTGCTCTTCCCCACACTCCCTCCTCCCTCCTCTGGGGTCCTCAGCGCCCTCCTGCCCCTGCGACCAAGCCGCCACCCTCACTGTCCCCCTGCCGTCCGCTGGCCCAGCTCTCCCTCGGGGACGCTCCGCGCCGCCCTGGGTCCGGCTGGCAGGTCCGCGGAGCTTCCCCTCCCCTCCCCCTGCCCTCCCAGGTCCCTTCCCTCCGGACCGTGCTGGGCTCTGCGGAGAGGAGAATAAAGTGCCCGTGGCTGACAGAACCGCTGTCCTCTTCCTGGAGGCCTCCGGGCCGCCTGGGACAGTCCCCGCGGGTCCCCAGGCCGGCGCCTCTGTCTGCCCGGCGGGCGGCGGGGTCTCTGAGAGATCACTGGGGAGCCAGAGAGAGGACAGTTAGCCATTGACTCCCTTCTCCTGGGCAAAACGTCCGAGGCGGCAGAGGACGGGGGCCAGTCCGCACCGGGTGAGGCCGGCAGAGGCTTCAGAGGCGTGCGGGCAGCGGGTGACCGGTGCAGGGCCCAGGGGGGCGGGGGCAGGGGGGTCTCCCCAGTGGCACCACCTCACCCCTAGGAACCGCGGGCACACCCTGCCCCTCCTGCCTCTCCTCAGCAGAACGGCAGAGCCGCAGAGGCAAAGCAGAGCCCAGGTAGGGCAGGTCCAGGCCTGGGCCTCCACCATCTGCAGAGGCAGCACACAACGTCTGCGAGGTCAGAGGCTGCGGCTGCCTCCGCCCTGACTGCGCCCTGTGCCCGGAGCAGAGCCTGGCACTGTGTCCCCAATGCCAAGGGGACAGCTCCGGGGCAATCATGATCCAGATGCTGCACACCACAGTGACCCCCACTGGGACCCCCACTGTGTCCCCCCCACTGGGACCCCCCACTGTGTCCCCCCCACTGGGACCCCCCACTGTGTCCCCCCCACTGGGACCCCCACTGGGACCCCTCCCACTGGGACCCCCCCACCAGGATCATCACACTAACACCACCAGGATTGTCATGGTGATCTCCCCATAGTGACCTCTCCACTGTGACCCCCTCCACTATGACACCCCACAGTGACCCCTCCACAGTGACCCCTCCACCGGGATCGTCGCGGTGACCCCCCACTGTGACCCCTCCACCGGGATCGTCACGGTGACCCCCCCCACTGTGACCCCTCCACCGGGATCATCACGGTAACCCCCACTGTGACCCCTCCACCGGGATCGTCACACTGACCCCCCACTGTGACCCCTCCACCGGGATCGTCACACTGACCCCCCACTGTGACCCCTCCACCGGGATCATCACGGTGACCCCCCCCACTGTGACCCCTCCACCGGGATCGTCACGGTGACCCCCCACTGTGTCCCCCCATTGGGACCCGCACTGGGACCCCCACTGGGACCTCCACTGTGTCCCCCCACTGTGTCCCCCCACTGGGACCCGCACTGGGACCCCCACTGGGACCCGCACTGGGACCCCCACTGGGACCTCCACTGGGACCCCCACTGTGTCCCCCCACTGGGACCCGCACTGGGACCCCCACTGGGACCTCCACTGTGTCCCCCCACTGGGACCCCCACTGGGACCCGCACTGGGACCCCCACTGGGACCTCCACTGGGACCCCCACTGGGACCTCAACTGGGACCCCCACTGTGTCCCCCCACTGGGACCCGCACTGGGACCCCCACTGGGACCTCCACTGTGTCCCCCCACTGGGACCCCCACTGGGACCCGCACTGGGACCCCCACTGGGACCCGCACTGGGACCCCCACTGGGACCTCCACTGGGACCCCCACTGTGTCCCCCCACTGGGACCCGCACTGGGACCCCCACTGGGACCTCCACTGTGTCCCCCCACTGGGACCCCCACTGGGACCCCCACTGGGACCCGCACTGGGACCCCCACTGGGACCTCCACTGGGACCCCCACTGGGACCCCCACTGGGACCCGCACTGGGACCCCCACTGGGACCTCCACTGTGTCCCCCCACTGGGACCCCCATTGGGACCCCCACTGGGACCCCCACTGGGACCCGCACTGGGACCCCCCACTGGGACCTCCACTGGGACCCCCACTGTGTCCCCCCACTGGGACCCGCACTGGGACCCCCACTGGGACCTCCACTGTGTCCCCCCACTGGGACCCCCACTGGGACCCGCACTGTGACCTTCACTGGGACCCCCACTGTGTCCCCCCACTGGGACCCCCCACTGGGACCCCCACAGTGACCCCCCACTGGGACCCCCACTGGGACCCCCCACTGGGACCTCCACTGTGTCCCCCCACTGGGACCCCCACTGGGATCCCCACAGTGACCCCCCACAGTGACTCTCCACTGGGACCCCCACTGGGACCCCCACTGGGATCCCCCACTGTGTGTCCCCCACTGGAACCCCCACTGGGACCCCCCACTGGGACCCCCCACTGTATGTCCCCCCACTGGAACCCCCACTGGGACCCCCACTGGGACCCCCCACTGTGTGTCCCCCCACTGGGACCCCCACTGTGTCCCCCACTGGAACCCACACTGGGACCCCCACTGTGTGTCCCCCACTGGGGCCCCCACTGTGTCCCCCCCACTGGGGCCCCCACTGTGTCCCCCCCACTGGGACCCCCCACTGTGTCCCCCCCACTGGGACTCCCACTGGGACCCCCACTGGGACCCCTCCCACTGGGACCCCCCCACCAGGATCATCACACTAACACCACCAGGATTGTCATGGTGATCTCCCCATAGTGACCTCTCCACTGTGACCCCCTCCACTATGACACCCCACAGTGACCCCTCCACTGTGACCCCTCCACCGGGATCATCATGGTGACCCCCACAGTGACCCCTCCACCGGGATCATCACACTGACCCCCCACTGTGACCCCTCCACCGGGATCATCACACTAACCTCCCTACTGTGACCCCTCCACCGGGATCATCACACTGACCCCCCACTGTGACCCCTCCACCGGGATCGTCACACTGACCCCCCACTGTGACCCCTCCACCGGGATCATCACACTGACCCCCCACTGTGACCCCTCCACCGGGATCTTCACGGTGACCCCCCACTGTGACCCCTCCACTGGGATCGTCACACAGACCCCCCCCCACTGTGACCCCTCCACCGGGATCGTCACACACACCCCCCACTGTGACCCCCCACTGTGACCCCTCCACCGGGATTGTCACACTGACCCCCCACTGTGACCCCTCCACCGGATCGTCGCGGTGACCCCCCACTGTGACCCCTCCACCGGGATTGTCACACTGACCCCCCACTGTGACCCCTCCACCGGATCGTCGCGGTGACCCCCCACTGTGACCCCTCCACCGGGATCGTCGCGGTGAGTCACACTGACCCCCCACTGTGACCCCTCCACCGGATTGTCGCGGTGACCCCCCACTGTGACCCCTCCACCGGATTGTCGCGGTGACCCCCCACTGTGACCCCTCCACCGGATCGTCGCGGTGACCCCTCCACCGGGATCGTTGCGGTGACCCCCCACTGTGACCCCTCCACCGGGATCGTCACACAGACCCCCCACTGTGACCCCTCCACCGGGATCGTCGCGGTGACCCCCCACTGTGACCCCTCCACCGGATCGTCGCGGTGACCCCCCACTGTGACCCCTCCACCGGGTCGTCGCGGTGACCCCCCACTGTGACCCCTCCACCGGGATCGTCACGGTGACCCCCCACTGTGACCCCTCCACCGGATCGTCGCGGTGACCCCTCCACCGGATCGTCGCGGTGACCCCTCCACCGGATCGTCGCGGTGACCCCTCCACAGGATCGTCGCGGTGACCCCTCCACAGGATCGTCGCGGTGACCCGCACCTGGCTCCGCAGTGGATGTCAGAGTCTGTGCGGAGACCTGGGCACATTTCTATTTCACCTTCAAATTACGAAGGGAAAATTTCTGTAGTACAATCGGTTTGATGTCAAAACCTTATTTTTAATTCCAAAAGGCATTCCAGAAAGCGTTGATTAAAAAACTGTTTACCAGGTTAATTTGATTGTAAATGAACAGATATGTTTCTGTCAGAATGTTGGTAAAAGCTTTCATAAAGAAAGAAAAAGGCAGGAAGAGCAGCCGGTGGCGGGGGCGGTGGAGGGGGGCGGGAGCAGGCGGCCTCTCTCTGTGGGGCGGCAGCCAGAGCGGCTGTGCCGCAGGAGCCAGGATGTGGGCTGCTCGCCTGCCAGTGCGGGTGAGAGATGCCGCTGGGCCTGAGGCCCGTGCGGGAGGCCCCTGAGCCTCCCAGGGCCCAGGTGCAGCTTGCGGAGAGAGGCCTGAGCACTCACATGGGTCCTGATCCAGCTCAAGCCAGCGGGCTCTCCTCTCTCCCTCTCTGCACTCAGAAAGCTCCCTGTGACCACAGAACTGTCTGTGTGTGCGACCAGGACAGAAACAGCCATTGGGGGTGTGGACCGGAGGGGCCGTGTGCGGACCTGACAGCTCAGGGCGGCCTGCATGGCGGTCTTGCAGACTCAGACCAAAGTCACCACAAGGATGGTGTGAAATGAAACCTTTACTAAAGCAGTGATGGTGCAGTCACCTCCTAGGCCGGTATCTTCCCTGACAAGGCCAGCCTTTACCTTCCCGGAGCCCGTCAGTCTTTCGGCATCAGTGATAACACACCGTGGAAGTGTCTGGTAGCTTGTCACTTCCCTTTTCTCGGAGCCCCTGGGGCAGAGCCTGACGTGCTGGACGCCAGGACAGAGACCACAAAGTCCTTCATTACCGTGTTAATTGGCCCTGCACCCACCTGAGGACGTGTCCATCATTTTACTTTTTACCCAATCCCGGGGTTTCCCGCTTTGCTTTCTCCCGCCTCTCCAGTCTATCACCAGTGGATTTCATGTAACCCACCTACTTCCCCTCCTTTGATTGCAATATATAAAA